ACGAATAAATATTAACTTGACAGAAGGAAACTGGGTGCCGTGGGTGTGTGTTCTTGAAAGAAAAATGAACAACTTAAGGAATTTTTGTGAAATCTTGAGAACAAACATTTTGATATTATTTTGTACTGATATCTATTCTTTTCTAGTTTCTAGTTTCCCCTATTTCTGAAGTCCCATTGATAAGATAAAACTAAACATTGTATGAAAAAGATGATTGAACCAACTTATTTTGTGTCCCCATAAGCCAAAGTAGAGTCCTCTTTGCAAAAGATGGCTGATTTGCTTGAGAATCAAGACTGTTACAGCTTCGGATTTCCTCATCACAGCCCAATTCACTCCCTCCATTCTCCCACCTACTAATATCAATTTCAGATACAGCCCTCCTAGCACCACCACTTCCGCCACCAGCCTTGGCCTCATCCACAGCATTCCAGTGAACTGGAAATCGGAAAGAAAATGCTCGTCTGGATGCCTCAGCAGTGGCTGAATTGGGTTTATACTTCTTTCCCCTTAGCCAAATTTTAGACACTGAAAAACTATCCCTCTTACTTTTTCCGATCACCTTTCTATCATTGCCATCAGAATTTTCAAGATTCCTAAATGCCTCAAAACCATTGAATTCTCTTCTTGAATCACAGCCACATTCAGACATTGCAAGCCTGTGGCCTGGTGTCAATGGCAAAGAAGATTTCTTGCTTGATTGTTTCTTTGTAGATGGAGTCCTAATGGGAACTTGCAGAGATGTATTTCCATCCATTACATAAGCAAAAGATCCCATGGAAAGGCACCTTCTTTCATCAACATTATTATTATTAGTACTACCTTCAATATCAACACCAACATTTCTAAACTTCCCAAGCTTTACTGGAACAACATTTTCTCCTGAACCCACAAATAATTTTTTATTTCCGTCCTCTTTTTCTTGAATCTCACCAGATTTTTCTGCTTGAAGAACCCTACAATCATCACCATAAAGATGACTCAAATGGGAATTCACTCTTGCAACTGAATTTGTAGAACCTAATCCACCCTCTTGAACAATCTCTCTTGAACTTTCACTTCCAGATTCAAGAACAAGGACCGTAGGGGAGCAATCACCATTGGGTGAAAAATCAGGAAGCAAAATTGCTCTACAAAGAGGGCAAGTGGAATGAGACAATAGCCAAGTATCTATGCACTCCATATGAAAGGCATGGCTACATTTAGGCAAAAGCCTAAGCTCATCTTCTGCCACAAATTCACACAAACAAACAGCACAATCAAATGGATCCTTCACACCAATTATGGCCTTGTAATTGAAAATAGGGAGGGTATCAATGAAAGACTGGTCAACACCTGCATCATGTAAGTGAAAAAGTTGCTGCAACTGACCTTGAAGGGCGCTCCCATTTTCTAGTTCATCATCAGAATCTCTATTTGTGGGTTTTATAAGGAATCTAACCAGAAGATGAAGCAAACCAGAAATGAAAAAGATGATGGCAAGTATTATAAAAATCAATAGCACACTTGGGCTTACTTTATTATTCAAACTGATATTACTGCCTGAATGTGAACTGGATAGGAGAGGTGGAGATGGCTGAAAGAGAGATGATGGGTGTTGTAAAGGAGAAAGAGAACTCTTTTCTTCAATTTCAAGAACCCAACCCATTTTTTTAGAATTAAGTTGGAGAAAAATCATCAAGAGTAGAGAATTATACGTCCATCATATGTTGTGAAAATGTCCCGTTCGACTAGAGAACTTCAGAGCAAGTTCAAGTGTGAAACAAATGGAGTGAGATATAAACAGGCTTTATGATAAAGACTCGACGGGTTACTCCATGAATTTTTTACTGGAAAAAGAAAACGTCCAAAGTCAAATTTACAGAGAGGGAGATTAGCTGTAAGAGAAAGTTAATGAGATGCCAGAATCTGATGATTTTGAATCTTCAGCAGATCATCATTATCTTTGGATCTAATTAGCTCAAAACAATAATTATTTCCTTAATAGACGGATACAAAATATTCTAAAGGGCAAAAGATTAGCTCTCTAATGCGCAGTATTGTACCCAACTTGACAATCCTTACTACTATCTGGTATTATATCCTACCTACAAAACAAAACTATAAGATCTCATCAAAGGGTTTTGCTAGAGTGGCGCCCCCAGACCACGTGGCCGTGGATGAATAGCAAAACCACTCATCAAATGCTAGGGTTTCTGGGTTGACTTAAATGAACTCCATTTCATCAACACCAATGCACATTTAAGTCACCTGATTAAAAAATTAATCTTGAGCAGTAAAATATTGAAATTTCATTGAGAAGGAGGACACATCGTTTCACTGTATTTATTATTACAATTCTTTAAGTTTGTCGTTCCACTCTGATAACATCCTTCTTTCAGTGTTTCTGTTCCATTCCTTTTTCTATTCTGACTCCAAGAACACCCCTTCGTGGAAAAGACAAATCACACAAGCCGGAAGTCAAAGCGATGAATTTTGGGAGCTTGAAAAATGGAAGATGACACAAATTGTCATTTTCTAAGCGTCATATCGAGTGTTAGTGCACTGGACCACAAGTCTTGGACGTTAAACAATTTTGTACTTTCTCATGTTGCCTTTGGGCTTACTAGCATTTTGTCTACTTCTATGTGATATCTTCGTATGTATGTATGTTATTTACAGGTTACATTTAATCCATATAATTGTTTCCCATTTTCAAAAATCATTTTTTTCCTCAAGCTCATTTTTTAAATAAGATAACGATTGATAAGGAAAGGTTTAACTAGTCTATGTTCTAGCAATTTAAACAGAACCTTTCAAAGAAGGGTACTCAATTCGAGCAGCAGTTGATCTTCATTGGATATACTAATTCTTCACATTTCATGAAATTTACAAATTTGATCAACTTTTCAACATATTTCATCATTTTTATTAAAATCTACTAAAATTTTGACTTTCAACAAATTCAAACAGAGGCTTTAATGTTTATAAATAAAGGGAAGATTGCAACAGCGATCCTTGACGTTTAAGTTTTTAGCAGATTTCAGTCTAATCTTCAGTTTGAGCATATGAAGGTTCCAAACCTTTGAAAAACTAGAAGATCAATTCATTTAACTTTAGTTGACCAGATAAGTTGATTTTGACCAATTTTAAAATGAGTAAAATGATAATTTTGCCAATCCCATATATAAAATAATAATAATAATATAAACCCACTTTCTTCCCCACACCATCACCCATACCAGTGGCCAACACCGTCGCCCACAGGCCAACCACCACCAGCACCACCCACACAGCACTGGCATCGCTGTTGCCACCCAAACATTAATTGCCAGAAATACCATCAGCTAATCCGATCACCAGTGATGCAGCCAGCCAAACTAAACCATCCATTCTTCAGTGTCAAAGCAAAAACTAGCTCCTCAGTCCCATCTCTTGCCACCAAAATTCTCATCTTCTCTTTTCTTTACACTCCAAAATTCACCCTCTCAGAGAACATTTTTCTACTCCATTTTTGCTGCTTTATATGCTCTCAAAGAACCACTTTTTGCCGCCTGAATTGAAGGAAATCGACATAGGTTCTTTTTATATAGTGTCCAAAATAATATTGTTCGCCTTTTTCCATTCTTAGTCACTATTGGAAACTCCCAATTCGACAATGTTGCTATTATGCAAGATTAGAAAAAGATTAGCCCCCAGTTCATTTGGTGGAGGGAGGGATTTTGAGGTCAAAGATCTGTTGAGTGCGCTAGAGAGGTTGGAAATGGTATTGGGTTTAGTTCATTTAGGTTAGTTTCCTGATTATTTGAAGGGTTCGATTCAAATTGTATGTGAGATAGGGTGTATTGATATGGGAAGAGATGAAGAGATGGAGGGTGATGCTATAAAAAATCATACATATTGATTTTTGAGCTTGATGATTGAAAATGAGCACAAACAAGATCTTCCAGTACTTGAAACAAAGGTGTCGAGATATGTCATCATCGCCCCTCCGATACTTAAGTTAGAGAGAGAATATACGCGTGGGGCTATAAACTGAAAAATTATGTAAAAAAATACCTGAATAATAAATTGAGATTGTGTATTTATAGAAGTAGGCAGTCTACTCCTAGTAGGTTTAGGTTACCCAAATCATTAAGAGTCTTACCGTGTTTAGGAGTTGTAACTTGATAGATATTGTATAAATGATGTTTGGATAAAGGTCAAACTCCAGTAGTAGAGCCCTATGAGGATGGGACAAAAGAGATATAACAGAATATGTTCGTAAGTTTCTCTCCATCTGTTATTTGCTATTTTCTGCTATTGTTGTTTGTTGTTGACGTTGTTGTTAGCTATCTATATAAAAATTAATAACCAATGAATCCATTTTCCGTTGCATAATAATATTTAGAGTTGCATATACTCTTAAAGACGAGACTTGTGTATTTCGTAATATTGTCTTCAAAAAGTTCCTTCTTGCTTAGACCACATTGGTAAAGGCTAGACACATTACAATTTTAATAAGCTGAGCAGTGGTAAGAAAATTGAGATTAAATAATTTGTCGAAAACTGAAATCAAGTTGAAATACCATATATACTCCATCTTAAACCCTTTAAATTATGTCTGCAAAAATTTTATTTTGCCTTTGTTTTCCATGGACAAGTTGACCGTTAAATATGGAACTATATGCAGCATCGGCATGCTATGAATATAACGACCAAGGCACAATGATAGCAGCAGCTAATCCTTCATTGTTCAACAATAAGGCAGCTTGTGGAAAAAGTTACAAAGTGAAGTGCACTGGAGCCATTAACCAAGGACCAAATCCATGCCGAGGAGGAACAATAACTGTAAAAATTGTAGATCTTTGTCCGGGATGCGGAAAAAACCAACTTGATCTCTCTCAACCGGCTTTTTCAATGATTGCTAATCCTGATGCTGGAAGAATCCGAATTCACTATACCAAGTATAATCAATCCTTCTATTTTTCATTTCTATTTTATTAATGATTTTTTTTTTCTTTACCAATTTTTGGAGACATTTTTAATCTCTTGTTTCCTTGTGATTTGCAGGGTTTGAGGCAACTTTGGGAGATAAAAGGATTTCAAAGTTATTCAGAATAAGCTTTTTAGCATGTTTAATGCTAATATATAAATATGTAAAACACTATACAGCTAGTTGAATAAAAGACATCGGGTAGAAATCATATATTGATTTCTATCATAATAACAAAACTAAGGATGTAATGTGAATTTCACTTATCTTGTGATGTCTTCTTTGTCGAAATGAAACTTTGAAGTCCTAGTAATGTAACATGTTATTATTGTTATCTAATCTTTAAATTCGATGCTAATGCAGCCAGGAGCAAAAAAGTAAATTAATTAATTAATTAAGAGAATGAATAACATAATCAAATATTCATAGATGAAGAATGTCAAATACTTTACAGTCGAGTCATTGATTCGTTCACGAATGTTGAGACTTTATCGTTCTTGATCAACAAATCATTGATTCCATAGAATAACGACTTTGATCACAAGAATTGAAATCTCCCACTTTTAATATTTTTATTCAATAAACAACCAATTGTCAATGAACCCTAAAAAAGGAAAATAATTAGCTCCAGGTTAATCTTCTCAACAAAGCCAAACTCTAGAAAGATTAATCTAAACAAATCTCATACTGATCTAAATATAAAAATATTTATCGTTATATAAGTGTCTGCATGAATTACTACTCAAGGGCTTTAGTCCATGAGCTCTGCTCAATTACTCATTTTCTACATGAAAAAATGTTATTATTTATTCAATTCAAATTCAATCTAATCGTTTCAAAGATGTTGGAAGATATATTAGCCAGTGAGATGAAAAGTTAAGAAATAAAATTAAAGAGTTTGAGATTTGAACTTTAAGTTTTAGGATTACATGGACTATTCTAAATATTGCAGAATATACATACAAGTACTAGTAGTTGAATAAGAGACCTCAAAAAAGATATGATTTTAGTATTCTGTCAAGTACAATATGTGAGAATTGCCAATCAAAATGCGTTCGCCATTGCTTGAATTGAAATTGATTCGTTTTGTTATATAGATTCTTTAGAGATTTATGGAGGATTGTGACTGGTAGGATTGGACGATATCGGAGTTTTGTTAACGTATTAATTACGGTTTAGGGAGATTTTACTTTATTTTAGTATACTTCTTTGTGTGTGTGTGTGTGTGTGTGTGTGTGTGTGTGTGTGTGTGTGTGTGTGTGTGTGTGTGTGTGTGTGTGAGAGAGAGAGAGAGAGAGAGAGAGAGAGAGAGAGAATCTAATTTTCTTATTATAAAATGAGTTTTCAAAAATAGATATACGACTGGGCCGAACCGAACGCGACAGTTCTTCTCAAATTAAATACCCGAACATGTATCTGAATTGAGAACCAACGGGTACTGTTTGATTTTGGTTCTATACCAAGAACCGAATCTTCCTAATTTTTTTTTTTATATTGAATAAATCAAATTATTTTAAAATGTTCTAAACAAATTAATTAATTAGGTGAATGATTGTTACTCCATCTTCCAAGCCCTAGCCTAACTAGCTTGATCCAACCCAACCAATTTCTAAATCTAATTTTTTGGCCCAATTATTTGTTTCATTTCTAATTTTTTTAATTTTTAGCCCAAGTGTCCAACATCAAACCCTCTTTATTCTTCCATTTTTAGTTTATTTATGTTGGTTAATTGTGCTTTTTCAATTTTTTTCTGTAGAGATTCTTCGTATGGCATGTCAAGCAATTGATAATTAAATCAAATAGTTGATAAGTATTAGTAATACTTAAAAATATTTTACCTCTATCACTTCTAATTCAAGGTTTTATTATTATTATTATTATTATTATTATTATTATTATTATTATTATTATTATTATTATTATTATTAATGTAGACTTGAAGGCTGAAGCAAATGAATTATTGATATGGATCGCCAATATTTTAGTATTAGTATCTACTTTTTGATATTTGTATATGTTGGTAAATTAATCTTATTGAACAACTTGTTATTTATATGTTTTTTAATTGGACTTCATTAATTTGGAAAAACTATAATTGAATATGTTATTAGTTGTATTTATGTAGTGTTGTTGTAAATGTTAAAAATTATAATTATAGTACGAAACCGAACAAAATCGGATTGAATCGAACCAAACCCGAACCGAACAGTTTTACTTACTAAATACTTGAAATTTTCGGTTCGGTTCGATTCTAAAGAGAACCGTAGAATCGAACCAAATTGTGTCCAGTCCTAAATAGATATGTTGTGAGCCCAATAACATTTTTCTTAGGCAATGGACTTTTGCGATCTAAATTTTCCAAAGTAGGGCAGCCCCAACTTTAAAGGTGGACCAAGCTGGGGTATTGGTATCAAATGTTCAGGTATGAAATGGCCCGAACAGGCATTTTTAAATTTTATTTATTTTGAAAAATCAACACTAAAAAAATCACGTTCGACCCAGCTGGCCAGGCCTCGCATTTTCCATACGAACTTGCCCTACCCGTCATATTGAACCGCCTTAGAAGCCAATCGGATGACTATGCACCTTGACACTTGATTGATTTGTATATCATAACTTATGCATTCAATTTTCTTATTAGAAAGTAGTCACGATTACTTAAGAGTCACCTCAAGCTTTTGACAGCTTTACACCTTGACACATGATTGATTCATATATCAAACTAATCGCAATTTAAGCATTCAATTTTTTCATTAGAAAGCAGTTCATTTCAAGCTTATAAATGCTTAACAAATTCAAGATAATGATAATAACCATTACAACCAAGTATTTGGTGGCATGTCAAACTTTCATTTACTGAAATTTCATAGAGATCTTGATATGTATATATATCAATATTCTTGACTTCATATTGAAAATTCAAGAAATCCCAATTTCCATATTAGTGAAAATATCCTCATTACCAAGCAAGGAAGAAATCTCTAATATTAGATGTGACAAATTTGAAAAACCACATTCAAACAATTCATGATGGTTATCTTTTATCTATAGACAATATTATTCGAGATCAAAAAACGAAATTTGGAATTAGAAGGCACAAATAAATTTTTTTGTAAGATAGAGATAATAGATAAATCTAATGAACGGCCGCAAATAGAGTTATAGATGTTGACTAATAGAGGAAGTATTAGAGTATTTTCAAAAGACTCTATTTATAAAGAGTATTTTTATTTTTCGAGAGTAATTTTTTATCTATATAAATGCTCCAACAATACTTACAATTTTGACGTTTCATTTTGTTTTTTCAAGAAAATTTATTTATTTCTCCTCTTTTATTTTCTTTAATATATCAATAATCAATCAATCCAAATATGATCTAAATCATTTAAAAATTAGAATATTCAAATTCGTCAACTTATTAAATGCATTCATTTTAAAGTTGGGGTAATCAAACTCACGTTCAATTTAATATATTTTTCTTACATACTATTTTAATATAACAACTGATAGCAGCCTTCAACTGTTTCGTGACCATATTAAAGTTATGTAAATGCATTCAATTAAATGCAACAGCTTGTGACAGTTAATATACTTGGAAGAGTGTTGTCATTTTCTATACTTCCCTTACCTAAAATTCAGATTTTAAATTTTGAAAAAGAAAATGGTGTAGTATGTAATTATAAGTATTGAATTTAACTTCTTTGAAATGTGTGTTTATGATTGAAATTTTTCTTATGATATTCCTTGTCTTCGCAAGTAGACATCGCACAAATATTATATGCACCAGCATATACAGTAAATAAAGGGTTATCGATTGCCCCCAGGGCACATCTCCAAGTGGTAAAAGGGGAGAGTGGAGAAATTCAGCTTTGCTTGAGGCTGCCGCGTCAAGGGTTCGAATCCTGAAATATGGATTTGGCTCTTGGGTAAGTGTAAATGTACAAGTTGCCTTCCACTCTATACCCTTGGAGGCACAACCTGCGATTTACCTCCCTCACAATACTCCAGGGCAGGGGCGGTGGGAGACCCTCAAGGTTGGGGTTCAACCTTTGATAAAGGGTTATCGATTTGTATAGTTGACATTCACTGGCATTAGTTATGACTTGTGATTGGCCTTGACTGAAAAAATTTCTTGTGGCATGAAGATCATGAAATACAGCGCTGTTTGATCCTTGTTTGACACGAATTAATGTATCTTCACGAGCACTCGTTGCACAAGTATACGAATAAATATTAACTTGACAGAAGGAAACTGGGTGCCGTGGGTGTGTGTTCTTGAAAGAAAAATGAACAACTTAAGGAATTTTTGTGAAATCTTGAGAACAAACATTTTGATATTATTTTGTACTGATATCTATTCTTTTCTAGTTTCTAGTTTCCCCTATTTCTGAAGTCCCATTGATAAGATAAAACTAAACATTGTATGAAAAAGATGATTGAACCAACTTATTTTGTGTCCCCATAAGCCAAAGTAGAGTCCTCTTTGCAAAAGATGGCTGATTTGCTTGAGAATCAAGACTGTTACAGCTTCGGATTTCCTCATCACAGCCCAATTCACTCCCTCCATTCTCCCACCTACTAATATCAATTTCAGATACAGCCCTCCTAGCACCACCACTTCCGCCACCAGCCTTGGCCTCATCCACAGCATTCCAGTGAACTGGAAATCGGAAAGAAAATGCTCGTCTGGATGCCTCAGCAGTGGCTGAATTGGGTTTATACTTCTTTCCCCTTATCCAAATTTTAGACACTGAAAAACTATCCCTCTTACTTTTTCCGATCACCTTTCTATCATTGCCATCAGAATTTTCAAGATTCCTAAATGCCTCAAAACCATTGAATTCTCTTCTTGAATCACAGCCACATTCAGACATTGCAAGCCTGTGGCCTGGTGTCAATGGCAAAGAAGATTTCTTGCTTGATTGTTTCTTTGTAGATGGAGTCCTAATGGGAACTTGCAGAGATGTATTTCCATCCATTACATAAGCAAAAGATCCCATGGAAAGGCACCTTCTTTCATCAACATTATTATTATTAGTACTACCTTCAATATCAACACCAACATTTCTAAACTTCCCAAGCTTTACTGGAACAACATTTTCTCCTGAACCCACAAATAATTTTTTATTTCCGTCCTCTTTTTCTTGAATCTCACCAGATTTTTCTGCTTGAAGAACCCTACAATCATCACCATAAAGATGACTCAAATGGGAATTCACTCTTGCAACTGAATTTGTAGAACCTAATCCACCCTCTTGAACAATCTCTCTTGAACTTTCACTTCCAGATTCAAGAACAAGGACCGTAGGGGAGCAATCACCATTGGGTGAAAAATCAGGAAGCAAAATTGCTCTACAAAGAGGGCAAGTGGAATGAGACAATAGCCAAGTATCTATGCACTCCATATGAAAGGCATGGCTACATTTAGGCAAAAGCCTAAGCTCATCTTCTGCCACAAATTCACACAAACAAACAGCACAATCAAATGGATCCTTCACACCAATTATGGCCTTGTAATTGAAAATAGGGAGGGTATCAATGAAAGACTGGTCAACACCTGCATCATGTAAGTGAAAAAGTTGCTGCAACTGACCTTGAAGGGCGCTCCCATTTTCTAGTTCATCATCAGAATCTCTATTTGTGGGTTTTATAAGGAATCTAACCAGAAGATGAAGCAAACCAGAAATGAAAAAGATGATGGCAAGTATTATAAAAATCAATAGCACACTTGGGCTTACTTTATTATTCAAACTGATATTACTGCCTGAATGTGAACTGGATAGGAGAGGTGGAGATGGCTGAAAGAGAGATGATGGGTGTTGTAAAGGAGAAAGAGAACTCTTTTCTTCAATTTCAAGAACCCAACCCATTTTTTTAGAATTAAGTTGGAGAAAAATCATCAAGAGTAGAGAATTATACGTCCATCATATGTTGTGAAAATGTCCCGTTCGACTAGAGAACTTCAGAGCAAGTTCAAGTGTGAAACAAATGGAGTGAGATATAAACAGGCTTTATGATAAAGACTCGACGGGTTACTCCATGAATTTTTTACTGGAAAAAGAAAACGTCCAAAGTCAAATTTACAGAGAGGGAGATTAGCTGTAAGAGAAAGTTAATGAGATGCCAGAATCTGATGATTTTGAATCTTCAGCAGATCATCATTATCTTTGGATCTAATTAGCTCAAAACAATAATTATTTCCTTAATAGACGGATACAAAATATTCTAAAGGGCAAAAGATTAGCTCTCTAATGCGCAGTATTGTACCCAACTTGACAATCCTTACTACTATCTGGTATTATATCCTACCTACAAAACAAAACTATAAGATCTCATCAAAGGGTTTTGCTAGAGTGGCGCCCCCAGACCACGTGGCCGTGGATGAATAGCAAAACCACTCATCAAATGCTAGGGTTTCTGGGTTGACTTAAATGAACTCCATTTCATCAACACCAATGCACATTTAAGTCACCTGATTAAAAAATTAATCTTGAGCAGTAAAATATTGAAATTTCATTGAGAAGGAGGACACATCGTTTCACTGTATTTATTATTACAATTCTTTAAGTTTGTCGTTCCACTCTGATAACATCCTTCTTTCAGTGTTTCTGTTCCATTCCTTTTTCTATTCTGACTCCAAGAACACCCCTTCGTGGAAAAGACAAATCACACAAGCCGGAAGTCAAAGCGATGAATTTTGGGAGCTTGAAAAATGGAAGATGACACAAATTGTCATTTTCTAAGCGTCATATCGAGTGTTAGTGCACTGGACCACAAGTCTTGGACGTTAAACAATTTTGTACTTTCTCATGTTGCCTTTGGGCTTACTAGCATTTTGTCTACTTCTATGTGATATCTTCGTATGTATGTATGTTATTTACAGGTTACATTTAATCCATATAATTGTTTCCCATTTTCAAAAATCATTTTTTTCCTAAAGCTCATTTTTTAAATAAGATAACGATTGATAAGGAAAGGTTTAACTAGTCTATGTTCTAGCAATTTAAACAGAACCTTTCAAAGAAGGGTACTCAATTCGAGCAGCAGTTGATCTTCATTGGATATACTAATTCTTCACATTTCATGAAATTTACAAATTTGATCAACTTTTCAACATATTTCATCATTTTTATTAAAATCTACTAAAATTTTGACTTTCAACAAATTCAAACAGAGGCTTTAATGTTTATAAATAAAGGGAAGATTGCAACAGCGATCCTTGACGTTTAAGTTTTTAGCAGATTTCAGTCTAATCTTCAGTTTGAGCATATGAAGGTTCCAAACCTTTGAAAAACTAGAAGATCAATTCATTTAACTTTAGTTGACCAGATAAGTTGATTTTGACCAATTTTAAAATGAGTAAAATGATAATTTTGCCAATCCCATATATAAAATAATAATAATAATATAAACCCACTTTCTTCCCCACACCATCACCCATACCAGTGGCCAACACCGTCGCCCACAGGCCAACCACCACCAGCACCACCCACACAGCACTGGCATCGCTGTTGCCACCCAAACATTAATTGCCAGAAATACCATCAGCTAATCCGATCACCAGTGATGCAGCCAGCCAAACTAAACCATCCATTCTTCAGTGTCAAAGCAAAAACTAGCTCCTCAGTCCCATCTCTTGCCACCAAAATTCTCATCTTCTCTTTTCTTTACACTCCAAAATTCACCCTCTCAGAGAACATTTTTCTACTCCATTTTTGCTGCTTTATATGCTCTCAAAGAACCACTTTTTGCCGCCTGAATTGAAGGAAATCGACATAGGTTCTTTTTATATAGTGTCCAAAATAATATTGTTCGCCTTTTTCCATTCTTAGTCACTATTGGAAACTCCCAATTCGACAATGTTGCTATTATGCAAGATTAGAAAAAGATTAGCCCCCAGTTCATTTGGTGGAGGGAGGGATTTTGAGGTCAAAGATCTGTTGAGTGCGCTAGAGAGGTTGGAAATGGTATTGGGTTTAGTTCATTTAGGTTAGTTTCCTGATTATTTGAAGGGTTCGATTCAAATTGTATGTGAGATAGGGTGTATTGATATGGGAAGAGATGAAGAGATGGAGGGTGATGCTATAAAAAATCATACATATTGATTTTTGAGCTTGATGATTGAAAATGAGCACAAACAAGATCTTCCAGTACTTGAAACAAAGGTGTCGAGATATGTCATCATCGCCCCTCCGATACTTAAGTTAGAGAGAGAATATACGCGTGGGGCTATAAACTGAAAAATTATGTAAAAAAATACCTGAATAATAAATTGAGATTGTGTATTTATAGAAGTAGGCAGTCTACTCCTAGTAGGTTTAGGTTACCCAAATCATTAAGAGTCTTACCGTGTTTAGGAGTTGTAACTTGATAGATATTGTATAAATGAGAATATGTTCGTAAGTTTCTCTCCATCTGTTATTTGCTATTTTCTGCTATTGTTGTTTGTTGTTGACGTTGTTGTTAGCTATCTATATAAAAATTAATAACCAATGAATCCATTTTCCGTTGCATAATAATATTTAGAGTTGCATATACTCTTAAAGACGAGACTTGTGTATTTCGTAATATTGTCTTCAAAAAGTTCCTTTTTGCTTAGACCACATTGGTAAAGGCTAGACACATTACAATTTTAATAAGCTGAGCAGTGGTAAGAAAATTGAGATTAAATAATTTGTCGAAAACTGAAATCAAGTTGAAATACCATATATACTCCATCTTAAACCCTTTAAATTATGTCTGCAAAAATTTTATTTTGCCTTTGTTTTCCATGGACAAGTTGACCGTTAAATATGGAACTATATGCAGCATCGGCATGCTATGAATATAACGACCAAGGCACAATGATAGCAGCAGCTAATCCTTCATTGTTCAACAATAAGGCAGCTTGTGGAAAAAGTTACAAAGTGAAGTGCACTGGAGCCATTAACCAAGGACCAAATCCATGCCGAGGAGGAACAATAACTGTAAAAATTGTAGATCTTTGTCCGGGATGCGGAAAAAACCAACTTGATCTCTCTCAACCGGCTTTTTCAATGATTGCTAATCCTGATGCTGGAAGAATCCGAATTCACTATACCAAGTATAATCAATCCTTCTATTTTTCATTTCTATTTTATTAATGCTTTTTTTTTTCTTTACCAATTTTTGGAGACATTTTTAATCTCTTGTTTCCTTGTGATTTGCAGGGTTTGAGGCACCTTTGGGAGATAAAAGGATTTCAAAGCTATTCAGAATAAGCTTTTTAGCATGTTTAATGCTAAAATATAAATATGTATAACACTATACAGCTGGTTGAATAAAAGACATCGGGTAGAAATCATAGATTGATTTCTATCATAATAATAAAACTAAGGATGTCATGTGAATTTCACTTATCTTGTGATGTCTTCTTTGTCGAAATGAAACTTTGAAGTCCAAGTAATGTAACATGTTATTATTGTTATCTAATCTTTAAATTCGATGCTAATGCAGCCAGGAGCAAAAAAATAAATTAATTAATTAATTAAGAGAATGAATAACATAATCAAATATTCATAGATGAAGAATGTCAAATACTTTACAGTCGAGTCATTGATTCGTTCACGAATGTTGAGACTTTATCATTCTTGATCAACAAATCATTGATTCCATAGAATACCGACTTTGATCACAAGAATTGAAATCTTCCGCTTTCAATATTTTTATTCAATAAACAACCAATTGTCAATGAACCCTAAAAAGGGAAAATAATTAGCTCCAGGTTAATCTTCTCAACAAAGCCAAACTCTTGAATTGCCGATCGAAATGCGTTTGCCATAGCTTGAATTTAAATTGATTCGTTTTGTTACACAGATTCTTTAGAGATTTATGGAGGATTGTGACTGGGAGTGTGAATGGGAGGATTGGGCCGTATTGGAGTTTTGTTAACGTATTAATTATGATTTTGGGAGATTTCACGTTATTTTAGTATACTTCTTTGTGTGTGTGAGAGAGAGAGAGAGCCTAATTTTCTCATTATAAATTGAGTTTTCAATAATAGATATAGGGCTAGGCCGAATCGAACCGAACGCGACGGTTCTTCTCAAGTTAAATACCCGAACGGGTATCTGAATCGAGAATCGACGAGTACAGTTCAGTTCTTGATTCTAGACCAAGAACCGAATTTTTTTAATTTTTTTTATATTGAATAAATTAAATTAATTTTAAACTTTTCTAAACAAATTAACTAATTAAGTGATTCATTGATACTCCATCTCCCAAGCCCTAGCCTAGCTAGCTTGACCTAAACCAACTAATTTCTAAATCCAATTTTGGCACAATTATTTGTTTCATTTCTAATTTTTTAGTTTTTAGCCGGAGTACCCAACATCAAACCCTTTTTATTCTTCCATTTTTAGTTTATTTATGTTTGTTAATTGTGATTTTTCAATTTTTTCTTTAGAGATTCTTCGTATGGCAAGTCAAGCAATTGATAATTAAATCCAATAGTTGGTAAGTATTAGTAATACTTAAAAATATTTTACCTCTATGACTTCTAATTAAAAAAATTTTTATTTTTTATTTTTTATTTTTTATGTAGACTTGAAGGCCGAAGCAAATGAATTATTGATATGGATCGTCAATAGTTTAGTATTAGTATTTGTATATGTTGGTAAATTAATCTTATTGGACAACTTGTTATTTATATGTTTTTTAATTGGGCTTCATTAATTTGTAAAAACTATAATTGAATATGTTATTAATTGTATTTATGTAGTGTGGTTGTAAATGTTAAAAAATGTAATTATGGTACGAAATCGAACAAAATTGAACCGAATCGAATTGAACCAAACCCAAACCGAACAGTTCTACTTACTAAATACCCGAAATTTTCGATTCGATTCGATTCTAAAGAGAACCGTAGAATTGAACCAAACCGTGTCCAGCCCTAAATAGATATGTTGTGAGCCCAATAACATTTTTCTTCAATGGACTTTTGCGATCTAAATTTTCCAGAGTAGATAAAGCCCCAACTTTAAAGGTGGACCAAGCTGGGGTATAGGTATCAAATGTTCAGACATGAAATGGCCGGAACAGGCATTTTTAAATTTTATTTATTTTGAAAAATCAACACTAAAAAAATCACGTTCGACCCAGCTGGCCAGGCCTCGCATTTTCCATACGAACTTGCCCGACCAGTCATATTGAGCCACCTTAGAAGCCAATCGGATGACTATGCACCTGGACACTTGATTGATTTGTATATCATAATTTATGCATTCAATTTT